TATATTCTGTTAGTGGGTAACGGAGAACGGTTCTCTGCAATATTGCAGTCTATCGCGTTCCGCCGTCCAAATCGTCTAGTCTTAGAAAAATACATATCATTTTAATAGTCTATATTATGATATGCGTCGACGAAAAAAAAAAATGTTTTGTCGTATTCACCAGTGTTTTTTCTATAATATAAAATGATAAACAAACGGAATTTACAAACGCAATTGGTTAACCTGAATAACACTTTTTTATGCACAATTACCGCAGATTCGAAAAATTCTATTTATGGGATTACATGCAGAACGTTTTTTAGTACCAAACAGAATTATTTATGTTAAGACCTACACCTGCCGACATCGTGCGTGGGAAAGTTTGTCAGTGGAAAGGGATTTACACAGATTTAAGCTATACATCGGAGTTGGAGAAAACGACTGGGATTGAAAATGAAAAATTTTACCAATCCGGACATAAATATACCATTGCGTGATAGTAATAATTATGATAATAATAAGAATATTATTAAGAATGAACCATCCAGATAAACACATCATAATAAAAAATATTTAAATTTACAATATAATGGCAAAACTCGTCACTGATGATATCCTCGTATCGACGAATTAGAAGTACCAATTGATAAATATAAAATTAACTTATAAGATTTTTAAGTATTTTTTCCTAATAACTAATAAGTTATTAAAAATATGGCAAAAAAAATAACGCCAAGTTTGACGAAAAATAAATATAATATATACTATAAGTTATATCAAATATTAATACAATTATATAATATGATATTAGAATACAATTAGTAATTTATAGCCAATATCATACAATCAGGTTCACTTTTCTTAGTTTCAAACACTATATGTAGAAGCTAAGAGTTATTTTGGTTATTAATTAACTATATTTTATAACATATTGTTTATAGGTACCTAGGTATTTAATATTATAAGATTTACAATTAAATATTAATATGATAATATGTTAGTTTAAGCCTACTTGTAAAAAGGGTTTCTTTGTCATTAAAAAAACATATTTATGATTCACAGGATTTTCCTTAAAGATGAAAAATATCGAGTAGCGTGCTATGGGTTTTTTTATATTTTTGCATCCCATTTCTATTTCTTTTCCAAATTCAAGCACAGAGAAAAACATTATTATGTATCACACATTTACCACGCTCACTATATTGATAACAATATATTTTAGTACGTGCGTACCCGCACAACAAATCTTCACGCATATTGCCTATATTACTCCTTATAAACAATCCGTTAAAACGGTACAATAAATTGGATATAATTAGTACCTATGCATGGTAGTAGTAGGTATATCTTCTATGCACGGTAATATGTTTAGTGTTTATAGAAGGTGCTCCATTTTGGGATGCGGCCGGACAGGGTCTGAATTTGCACCTATTTTTTGTTAAACAATTTCCTGTTAGCCTGCCAAAAATGAAGACAAAGCATGTGTGTTTTTAATATTTCAAATTGAGTCATTGTATCGTATTTTGAATATTTTGTACTGTTTTTACTTTTCCAATACATTTTTGCTATGATCCGACAATATTGATCAAGTAATAAGAGAAAATTGTTATCAGCGTAATATAATATTATATTGTAAAAAAAGTAAAAACAAATAATAATAAAAATATTATTTTTACGGCGTCCAACGTTATCACAAATTATAATTATGGGATATGAACTTAAAGTTTTAGCCTAACCTAACCTAACCTACCCATATTAATGACTAATGGGTAATCTCAAAAATTAACAATTTCCAGTCAAAATATCAAAAAGAAATTCTAAATATATGTTATTCCTTGCTTTTCATATTTTGAATTGTATCACCTATGCCTACTGCACGGTGCACGCATAATTAAACTAGGTATACCTAACCTACAAGCTATAAACTACATTTATAAAGTGCACATTAAGCACCCATGATACCAAAAAAAAATTGAGAAAATTCTCTAGGTTGTGTCAAACATTTTTTTAATATTTGAATTTTTCAAGAACGTTAGTTACGTAATTAAAAAAAAATAACAATAATAATATATATTATATATATTTAAAAACGTTAGGTAGTTTTATAAAAAAAAAACAACTTCTGACATAATGTTATGATTGATTATTATGTATTGCACTACTATAGGTGCAATTAGTGGTGTGTAAAAACAGCATATTATAATACGGTTATGTGAAATGTATTGCGTTCACACGCACATCTACGGCACAACTATGGAAACGACGCGTTTTCAATACAAAATCTTGCCTGACAAAAATAAACTTTTGCCTCGTGAAATTGGCAGATTTTGATTGATTTTTTATTTAAATATGATGGTTTTATAAGGGCCTTATTGGAATCCGATTTCTCTATTTTAAAAAGTTGTAATAAATGTCTAAATAATCACAAATTATTGATTATTGATTATTTTTAAGACGTTATTTCAAGTTAATTAAAAAAACTGAGACTAATATGTTTTAAATGAAGTTTTTTTTTCAAATAATAAGTAAAAATCAAACTCTAAATGATCGCTTTTCTTTCGTTTTTAATAGTTGACAATGTTTTAATTTGATTTTCCTGTATGCCTCTTTTATGGCCGTCGTTCGACTTAAACTAGAAATTGCCTACAATTTGCCCCTGAAAAAATAGCCAGTCCCGATATCATTTACAATATTTAGATATTTAAATTTTCAGATGTTCTTTTATTCATACTTAAAGTTTATGGAGATAACATTCATTATCATTCGAATGCAAAATCCGGCTTAGCAATCCGATCGACCATCAATCACTGTTTGTCATAGCAGTTAGGCAGAGCCGGGCAAGTGGGCAATCAGGTAAGTTCTTGAGTTACTAATCAAAAAAGTCAACTGAATAGTATGTAAAATGTAGGCTTAACAGACAGATAGTCAAGTCGTTAATCGTAGTATAATATTAAAGTTTATTTTATGAATATGATGAAGAAAATATTATTATGTACCTAAATCTTCAACTTTTGCTTCTTTCGAAACCACCAGGTTGTAGTGTTTTACGGGTTTTGTAACTATTGGATATTTAATATAGGTCTTATGGTTAATTCGTGTATTAGACTTTAATTTTAATATTAGGTTTTTACAACTTTTTCTACGGTGTTATAAATTACTTATATATTTCATAATATGACTGGCTTGGTACAGTTTATAAATAACATACAAAAAACACACGGCGCAATATATATGCAACACTATGGCTGCATTCAAACACGATTGGCCTCAAGGAGCCGGCTATTTATCGAGGAGCAAAAAATTCTGATATTCGTATAACAGGCTGCACGGATAAATCAAAATCAAAGTTTATCAAACCATTTAAACGATGAAAAAAAACGACATTATAGGAAAAACGATTATGAAAAATAAAAATAAAAATATTGAAATCTGACTGTATTTCATCAGCTTTTTTCCTGTGAAACGATTTGTGAACTATAAAAACGAGTAGATTCAGATATCCTTAACGTGCTAACTTCTGTGACACCCTTAAGACAATGCTGTGAATTCGATAAATACAACGAATAATCATATTGGAATTAAAACACGTCAAATATTAAAACAAGTACCTAGCTTGGTATGAATGGTATTGGTATACCTCTAATATAATAATGAAAATTAATTATTTCATATTGGTAAAAAATTTTATTAAAAGCTCCAATAGGTACCTAGTAACTATAGAGTGTAAATGCCATGAACGCGTCTCTGTACAACATATTTTCAGATTTGAATAATAAATTGATTCATCTCAATCGCTCTAATTCACAATTTTCATAGATTCTCTTTTTTTTATTAACGCGAATAATAAATTAAACTTATTGAATATAAATGTAATGTATTATTATCCTGCTGTAGTAGTCTTAAGCATTTCGATATCAAGTAATGGTTTTGGGATTTAAAAAATGTCAATATGTATTGACTACTAATATTAAGAACAATAAGAACCACTAATATTAAGAACAAATAAAACTATTATTTTCTCAATATAAATAATTTGTATTTATAGTTTAGGTTGTAAACGACAACACCCGTGTACATTTTCATTTAATAAATTCAACGGTGACATAATAGAAATAGGTACATAGTCTTAATAACTAATAACACAATATTTTAAATGACACACAGCATAATAATATATTGTTATATGTGGTCTGATGTTGAAAAAAAATGGACAATATCTACGATTAATTTAATATGTATGCATTTAACAGAATACAAACATTAATAAACTCGATATGTATTTGTAAGTTTTAATAAAAATATTTGTTTATTTTTTTTTGATAATCAACGTCTTTAAAATTTCACAAGAAATAAATGAATTGTACAACTCACTCAAATTCTAAAATGATAATAATTATTTACACAAGATTACAATAAAGGTAAAAATAATGATGTTTTTCATTAAAAAAAAAAATAATAATAATAATAATAATAGTCCTATAATAAAGTCTAAAAGAAAAACATTCTAAACATTTAAATAACAAGAACATCATATAAAAAAAATGAATAATAATAATAAACCATTATCGACGTAGTAAAATATTTACACGATAAAACATATATTATTAATATTAATATTTATCTTAATGATTTTGGTATAAAAATAATTTAGTTGAATAAAATATAAATAATTTGTAATTTCTGTAGGAAAAAATGCTCTTCTTTTTTTGATTTATTACAACAAAACAAAGAGAAATATATATATCTAAATAACCTCCGGAACCTACTTAGTTAAAATCGAGTGATATTCTGTGTAATTTCGTTTTGTCCACCGGAAAAAAAAAAAAATTTTTTTTAAAAATAATAAATAATATGTATACAATGTGTATTGATATTATGTATCTACATCATTTGTTTAGAATGATATCGTCGTAATGACAAAAATATTGACGAATTTATTAATCAAAGTAATTTTTCAAAAAAAAAAAAACGATCCCTTTTGAGGGCTGGAGGGGTATGAGCGAGGGTACGTGGGTGCTGGTTTAGTTGGCCGATGGTTGCATACAGTATCCGCTGTACGTCCGGATGTTCTCTTCCGAGTAGTTCTTACTCTGTATCACTCCAGCGTCCGTGTGATGGGACGGACACGCGTGTTCCGGAGGGCACTGGCACAGCGTGTTGGTGTTCACCTCGTCCACCATCTCCTGTCGCTTGCGCACAGTGAACAGCCTGCAAGGTTCTTTACGCTGGCACCGGAGCCTCTGTAAAACAAAAAGGCGATTCCAGATTATAACAAGATACGTAATAGGTATAACGCAAAAAAAAAAAAATAATAATACTATACAAAACGTTTGAGGGGGGTTATAGTGTTAGAACGTCATAATAATAATTTGACGTCATTATGTTGCTCAGGAGAGTCGTGGAGTGGGTTTGAATAAAATGAATTACGGCGGATAAGTAAAAAAAATTTGATTTCCCACGAATTTCGACTTATGTAGGTTCCGCTGTATAACAATTTTATTCATTTTTGAAATTTAACTGCACTCAGCTACATTTTTATTCCGACAAATTGCTAAAAGCTAGTTACTACGAGTTCTCAGACCAATTTCTCCGGAAGAGGGATCACATTCTCCTTGGCCCCGCACACCCAGGACCAAGGACGCCCCCTTCACCTATATCAATATTAATTAAATACATATACCTTAATAGCCGACAACGGTGTATAGTTAGGTAGGGTGCGAATCTATATCAGTTGTAAGTATACTTAGAGTTTAGACTTACTCACATTGTAACATATTATATTCAGTGGCTTATTTTCAAATTTTCTGGAGGGGGAGGCACCAGTATCAGATGTATTCAGTATCTTTAATAATCATTAATTATAAGTTTTTTTTGGGGGGGGGAGTTTATAAGGGGTCCATTGCCAATTTCACTCCCCCTCACCCCAAAGGTAATTGTATTATATTTTATACCTAGGCGTATATAAATATAACGTCGATATTGCACGTACGAAAATGTTCATATAAAATATTTTTCCTAATTATCGATTAGCCTCCGCTTGGAGTAGGTATGTTTACCACATAATTATTATACTCTGCAGATGTACCTGCTATATTATACGCCTTATACCCAGCAGATAAAAATTAAATTTATAAACATTTAAGCGAGTTCCGCCTTCTGACAAAATAATTAATGATATTTATTACTCGAATATTTTGAAAATATAATATACGGCGTTTAATTATTATTTCACATCATCGTCCCCTAGTCGCCAATTCTGTTGACTACCTATATTATAATTCTATATAACTCCACGACGTCTATTCAATGGTCCCGGATCCTTTGCGAGAGTTAATTCGACGCCATCCAATTATTATTATTGTTGTTTTGTAGTTCAGACAGAATACACTATAGAACAAACGGTAAATATTCATCAGCGTATGGTTCACGCGGGCTCGTATCGGTATCGCTCTTATATAATATAATAATAATTAATAGTATAAAGTCCCCGTACGAGTACCAGCTAGCGGCCACTCGATGAAACAACGACATTATTATTTTTTCCCTTCGACAAAAAAAAATCTTTTGTGATGCTCGGAAGGCGTGCTATTATATTATATAATGACACCATTGAAAAATGTTTTAATATGGAGTATCCGAGTGTCGTGTAAATATAGCTTTTCCGGCAAGTACCAGTACGCTTTGCAGCGTGAAACTCGACTACTCTGGGGGCGCATACGCTGAATCGGTTAAGACTTTAATAAACTTAACCGCACGTGTGAACTGAACGAATTTAATGTACTTACCGTTTTACCTTATTATATTACCCGAGATGGGCTGCCTAACTCAATAAATATATCGTCGGCAGGATTTAGGATTTGATATTTGGCCGTGTTGTTTAATCTTTAATGGACCAACTGTGGGCTGCTAAATCACTCGTAAGGGATTGACAGCTCGCTACTTATTCGTTAAATGTTTAGTGTTTTATGCAATCCGGCATAATTTTCGCACAAATATACATTGTATAAAATATATATTACGTATTTAATACTGAACAAAATCCTAAGAAAGGACTATACTATATTGTGTTAGGTGTATGCATATAATATATATTCGATACAAAAAATGGTTATGGAAAATAAATATTTCATCGGTAGTCAACTATAAAATATGATTATTCGACTGCCGAAGTGTCTGTTTGGGAGGGTTAAATTCACATGTTGGAGATAGGGTTTACAATGCCTATATGTTGAACCCACCCTATGAATCGATTCTTAAATGGGCGCTTTTTCAACAATTTTGACACATTAACTATATATGGTATGTACTGGTACTTACGCTCTGCGGGGAGCATGCGAACGAGTACTGGTAACCAATCTGTTTAGACTCGGTCTGGTACGCTTGCCGCTTCAGCAGGTAGGCGACCGAACCCTTGGGACAGTGACAGTGGACCGTCTGCAGCGTACCATTTCCCTCGCTGCGCAGTGTCCACGCCATGTCACGGAAGTAACGACATTTGGGCAACATCTTGATGGGCTCGCATAGCTAGATGGGAATTAAAATATTATTAATATCGTTTTATAGAATAATAATATAATAAAGTATATAAGCAAATTAAATATATTATAATATACGTTATGAAAAAATACAATTCTATGCGTAGATATACCCCTTTTATATTATATGCATTAAAATGTATAGCTCGTAGGCAATGTTATATTATATTATATACGCCATGCAGATTAATTTTTAGAACTATTATTGTTCACCCCTATTTTTCCTTAAGTAGGTAGTTAATTTATTCAGATTTTCAAGTATATACTTTAACACTATATTATGCTATTTAAGGTTTTCTCGCGTCATCTGGTGTCAATACAAACTTTTCATCAGTACAACCTTTTTTACTGTATACTTTTAAGAAAAACGTTTTATTTTAAATGTTGAATATAATATATAAATTGAAGTTCAAATGAGTAGGTACTAGGTGCTGAGTTATTAAGGATTAAGTACTGAGGAAAGTAGTCCATGAATCATGATAATAGGTTAAAGATATGAGGGCTAATAGGCTATATGGTTATCTGAAAAATTATAGCTATTAATTATTAGATACGTTTTATAGTTTGTACAAATTATCTGTATATGATAAATACTAGACTAAAATACTAGATCTATCTAATATTTGATGTAAAAGTAATGCCACATAATTAAAGATAAATTTCCTTAAACTAATTAGTAGATAAATATAGTTAAAGTAATACCTAACTCAGAAACTATGATATTGAATTTTGATTTTCATTCATCAACATTTTCCAAAAACATCACATGCTCAAAAATTTACAATAAAAAGGGGTGGTGAGGAAAAAATAAGTTTGAAGAGCCAAGGCCCACGGGACAATAGTAAATTTATATAAAAATATGGTCTTTAAATTTTAACTATCCATTATAGGTAGTTTGAAATTCCAAAAATCAGGATTTGAATAAATATGCATTATAAAAGGATAAAAGGAGGGATGACAATGTCCTGGGCGAATGGTAATTTAGATTGATGCACAGTATGTGCATTGCACACATTATAATTTATTATTCGCTGTCGTGGGTTCACATGCTCGTGGATTTATGCGCACAAATCATTAACAGTCATTGTGCTGATAACAAAAACAGGTTGGGACGTGTATGCGTTTATTTTTTTTTTATTGAAATCTTATCGAATTCGAAACGATCGATCAAACGGAATGAATCTGACGGGTCTTATATTCGTTATTTCAATACCGTGCGTGATGCACAGACATAAGGTTTGTAAACTATAATATATTATTATTACAGGTACCTAATACTTATAACAATATGTTATTAGTTATAAGTTATAACAATAACATTATAATATATTGTGCAATATCGGCTGTAAGCAAGAGGCGCTTTCGAGGTAAGGCGCAGGCGCGCGCGTAAGGCCCAGCAGCGGTGGATTTTCATGACTTGTGTGTTTTTTTTAAATCTTTTTTTTGTGCTTATTTACCTTGAACTGCCTCGTTTTGTCGGTGATGGTGTGCCCGTCAGCCGGCGACAGCATTTGCGAGCACGGCGGCACGCCCGGCGGACACCTGCACTGCCTCTCCACCCACGGCCATTGATACATGTCCACCTTGCTGCACACCGCCCACTTTTCGCACACCGGCAACTCTTCCTCCGAGCTCTGAAATATAAATAAAAACACAGATGTGATTATTACACGATCGTCAAATTACGAAACCGTAAGGATATGCACAAATTAATAACGACAACGCGGCGAAGAAGATGATAATAATAATATGATAATACGGCGATGAAATTAGTAAACCAGTATAATAACAATAACATTACAATAAACGCGCGCGTTGGGTCGCACCCACTCGGTTTGGAGAAATGTCTTATGAAACTGCATCATATAGGTACAGGTACCAGGTACCAGCTCAATACATAATATACAATATTATTACTATTATGTGTGTGTGTCCATATTATAATATCCGAGCGATGGCCCCGAAATAAATAGAAATTATTAATGGGCTATTAGAATAATATAATATTTAAGTAGTAGGCTGTTGTAGGCATATCGGGTACGTTATAATGGATTTGAGTATTACGATGCAGTGAGCGATTTAATTCCAAGCGATGAATAGTAGTTGATATGGTGTTATTATATTAGCTAGTTATAATATTATAGTTATTGGAGATTTCGTCCGTTTTCACGACATTATAATTTATTGCAGTCTTTTATTGTTTATATGGATCTGCAACGATCAAGTTGTGATGTCATCGAAATGAAATATTCCTGTTTAATACTTTTTTTTGTAAATGATTCGATCAAAACCTAAACCAATATTCCTCGGATACCACATATACCCAGAGCCCTACTTATGGGGTGGGGGGGCTAAGGGGGCTGCAGTCCCAAGCCCCGACATAAACAGATATATAACCGAAAATAATACAGTCAAATACGTTTTATTTATACCAATCAACATTAAATAATTATACTTATACTTATATCACATAAGTATACTTATAATTATAGAGTTTGGTATAATTTATTTATAATTTTAAAAATATATTGAATATAAAACAACGATATTGTAAAAAAACTGAATTTATTATTTAGGTTGAAAGGTCTCGTCAAAAAATTAGCCCCTGGCCCCGAAACCCCTAAGTAGGAATTTGCAGATACCAAGTGCTATAATACCATCTATAATATTATATTAGATAACATTATTTACCTTTATAGTATACTACAAACAAATTCAGATTAAATATAAAAAAAAAAAATGTTTAATCAAATCTTAACAGCCCATGATATTACAACAAGATGTAATTAATTTATTACGCTATTTAGAATTAACCGCCACGTGTTGCTCAGTCGCTTATACAGTAATATTATTTATGTTAATGCAATCTGTTTGTTATTTATCACAAATAGTACATTTACGCATCTATCGTTTTTTCTCCATAATATTGTGTCATAATTATTTGCTGCCCATTACAAGTTACAACTACAGTCAATATATTATTATTATACAGACATGAGACATACGCATATATACAGTGTATAATAATACTATGTTTATTGAAATTATTTGATTAGTATACTTATGTAAATAATGAGGATAATAATGCAACTATCTAATACTAAGAATTTATTTAGACCGTATTTTTTATACGAGATAGAAAATGAGGTGACTTAATGCATTTTTTATTGTTGTTTAAAGTAGGTCATTATTTTCAATGTCGTCACGATTATCAGAATGTACCTATATCCACGTCGTAATTCTTTATATTTTTCGATAAACTTTGATGTCAATTTAGTTAAAGTTGGTTAGGTATACTCGGGTAGTGGATATAATACATTAAAACACGTCTAGACGTGTGTGGAGAAATACGATTGTCGTGCAGTACATTATAGGTACATACTTTGAAACGACCCATTGTTTGTGATAACATTAATTTATGTACGTGCAGGGTGATAACACTAATGAGTGTCGAGTTTTTCATAAAAAATGGAACTGTTTACCAAAAGCTGCTGCACGCATCGACGTGGCTGCAGCTGTGGGATATTTTTCATTTTATTGAGACCCACGACGTCACAGTTAAAATCTCATGTATAATATATAATATTATTGTTAGGATTACTTCTACGTTTATAAAGTTCATAGTAACCGATAGTCTCAAAAGGCGAGCGGCTGTGGTCAAATAAAAAAATCATTGAAAAAAAGTGTCTACGAGTAGAGAAGAGTTATTAAAAAGATTTATAAGTCTAAAACATAATCCGTTATGAATGTCTGAAGGTCGTATTTATATGCCCATTTATATTTTGGTATTCATTAACTAAAATATGCCAAAACGGTAACTACAAACGAAAGATGTTATTGAAATAGTAGGTACGCCTAAATATTAGTGGTCGGCAACCTTTTTGGGCTCTTGGTCTCGGACAAAAATAATAACATTATAGTCATATTTTGAGGGTACCTACATTTATGAAGATACCTATAAATATAAAATATTCAATTAAATTGTAATTTTGGAGTGGGCCGTATGAAATAGTCGTTTGGGCCTGATAGGCCACTTGCCTATATCGTATATGATATGTATATGATTGTGTTCTTTAAGTATCCAACCTAATATAGTATATAATATTATGTAATATATAGTGTTATGTGTATAATGATATATGATAATAATATCTATACTCATTACTCAATGTTGTTACTTATAAGTGTATATGTCTGATATGATGACAATGTTCTGAGGTCTGCAAAAGATTTCGTATTTTACCAAAGATTCGTGTGACGTACGTGTAAGCTTGTTTATAGTATTGAATGTTGTAAAAAACGTTGACAGACGTAGTCATCGTGTAAAGTTACAAGATTGTACAGCGTGCGCCCAACTCCACTCCAAAATATATATATATATATATATATATATTATAGTATTATACAGGACCGAAGGTATAATATCAATCGAAATAAAAACTCTCGTTTGAAAAATATGTTTAAATATCCATAAAATATAATACGTCATCGACTTTTGGCTGTTTCAATACATAATATAATCTGTGTGTGTAGTGTGTGTTTATATAGAATGTTATAATAGACCGTCTGACAGTGTTGATTATAATATACCTACCCCAGCAGTGGTTGTATCTGGAGAATGACGCGAACAAGGGGTGGCAAGGGATGGTGAAAACCAGGATCTAGATTTCATTCAAATATTTTAGGAGTTAGTATAGTAAATAAAAGATGGGTAGGGAATGGTTGTATTTGACATATTATAATATAACATACACAAAATGGTACCAGCTATACTATATTAACATCACGATATTGTATTTCTGCGTTATTATAATATATGTTTAGTGTGAACGGATATAAATATTCACACAATCAAAACGATACGTTATGGTATATAATATAATATAATATATTATAATTTCTTGAATACAAAATAAAAAAATACATCAATCGCCGTGAGTGTTATATAATGTGTATTATGTGTGTGTGTAATAATATATGCGCATGTAAGTAGGTAGTTATACAAATCGTTCGTTATTGTTATCATATTATTCTTTCTATTTAGTTCTTCAAAAGGAACATAAATGATGTATTAATTTCGTAGTAAAAGGATTGTAGGTACCTATCTATTTTTATTGTTTTCTCGCGCTATTTTTGCGTTTTAGTTTTTACGATATTATAATATTATATGTACTTATACGGCGAACGCGCGTGTTAAGATAATAATATATAGATAGAAAATCGCACGTACTATTTTTAGTTTTTCAACGATTAAAAATTAAAATATTATTACAATAAACGCATGACATAATCGACTGTACACATTATGATTAATATTATGCGACTCAAATAATATGCTTTTGTCGCCGAAAACGGCGTGACACGTGTCGATTTGAAAATTGCATTGATTATTCGATCGGACATCCGCACCGAACGCGTTTTTTTTTACCACCAAACAATAATAATCATTGGTATTACACTATTCGACACGTAAAGCCGTAAGTTTGTAAATTGTTATTCGAAGTGTCGTATTGTAACCAAACGAACATAATATAATTTCGAACGTTGTTATTATTAGGTTTTTTACTAACGTTATCACAAAACAATAAATGTCTCACCGCGACGATAAATTCCCGTAAACGTGTACGGGGTGATTGCTTTATGTCTTTATCTATATAATAATAACATATTCGTATATATTTGAAGAATTTGAAGTTGCAGGCTTTCTCTTCGCCTGAAAATCATATTTTTTTACGGATTTGGATTGTTCGAAAGAAAAAACAAATCTTACTTATTCCTATTCCGTCTACAGGTGGCACGAGCGGAAATTAATTGCAGTGATAATAATACTGACCGATTCGCGTCAAACCCCGTAGGTAGTATAGTAATATTTAACGAGAAACCGCTAGCCACCATATTTTAAAGTCGTCTGCACGTGTACCTGTACCATTAATATGAACTCTACTATGTGGAGTGGTCGTGTATATCATACTTAATTCCGGTTCCGTCGCAATTAAATGAAAAAAAAATATTGATAGCAATAATAATAATAATATGACGTCGTATTTGGCATCGAAACGTGTTACGTCATTGTGTTTTGTTGTTATTGCACATGCACATTTCCGTGCGAAACTGCGAAATGTACGCTATTAATTTTTATTAATAACATTTTTTTTTCGACATCGAAATTTCCGTCGTCCCACGTGACGTTATTTCCACACACGGTGATGGTGACATAATAATATATATTATTATATTAAATTGCTATATTATATTTATATGTGTATGTATATATAAATGCGTTTGCGTCGTCGTTATTCGGTGATTAAAAATTGATTTGGCACGATTTTTTACCTAGTCCGCCCCCTTACAAAAAAAAAATTCATCGCTCCGGCCCTGTTGGCATCGGCTCAAGCATTCGACACATCTACGGCGCAAGACGCAAACAATCCGTTGCGCAAAAACACACACTCACACACACACACACACACACACACACACACACACACACACACACTCACACACACCTCACAATATAGGTACATCGTACACGTTATAATGTTATATAATATATTATATTATAATTTTTTATTATATTTATATACGCACATGCATCATGCGGGAGTACGCGACGCTAGTGTGTATCTATATAGGT